GGAGTCAGGCTTGTTTGTTAAAAACAGGTTCTGGCCGCCGTTTTCACCAATGCCATGGGGCACACTTTATTAAACCGCAATATCTCATTCTCAGAGTAATTTCCGGAACAGTGCATTTATGAACTAAAAAACTGTTGAAGTTCGAAGGATCTTCTAGACGTCCGCAGACTCGTAGATATTACGAACAATTGTTACTTTGCTTGCGGTGGATTTCTGTCAATCATTCCTCATAAATTTTCAATTGGCTCGAGATTAACGTTTACTTTGAAGGTAGCAATTATTAGCTTTGATTGACAGAAATTCATTGAAATGCAAAACAAAAATGCTATAGTTTGTTACTACTTAGTGTCAACGTTTGATTATTTCGGCGATGTATCAAACACTAAACTCTGAGCGAGCTAGACACGAAGCCACAGATAACCCACCAATAGAACGAGTAACGCGAATCGCTTTCAACGTGCATTGATTTCACATTAGCCTGGTGAGTATGAATAGTTTTCGCTCTCTTGTGTAGCGTCAGTATTACAGAGAGGAAGCTGCGACCGTATGTTTTGTGATTGCTTGTGATAGAGCAAACACTACAGATTTACTTTTATGAAAGCAAAACGCCACAGAAAGAATGCGATCAGAAACCAGTTACTTGTGTCGAGAAATATCGAAGAGTAGGAAAGGTTTTCCTTCGACGAAACCCTAAAGCGAAATGTTCGCTTTCATGCGTCAGTAAATTTTTCCTTTTGGATAGATATTTGAAGGTATGTTGACAAGGCATGTGGATTCGTTGTCTAATCTAGGGAATGCAGTGATCACGTTTTTATTTTCGATATTATACTAACTTTCTCATGGCAGTGCCAATTCTTAATATAGTTCTCTTTAATCGTAAATATAACGCAAGCGTGATCGTTTACACTTAATATCTCAGCGGTGAAGTTTTTTTTTACCAAAATCTGATAGATGGATTCTTAGTGTGCAATTCGGATGACACTCAAAGTCCGGAAAGATTACAATGCAATAGCTTTAAAAAACTGGAACTTCATGGCAAGGTCAGGCTGTAATACGTATAAAGAGCGGTCTTTTTAACAATCTTTTTTTTGTTATTAAAACAATAAGGCATTCCTTGGTTGTTGTGAGGGTTTGTTTGTCATATTCATAACATTAGACTTCGATCAGTTGATTCACAAAAGAAATTCACAATCGGTGAGAACTTTGCGCAACATCTGTTCGCCTTTCCTTTTTCTGTGGACAACTTTACTTTTAGAAAACGAGTATTCATGAAAATGGAAACCAACTATTGCATACTTTAGCGCCTGGGCTCACAAGATTTGAACTACACGTCAGATTTTTGTATTCATTCTTCAAAAGGCAAGCTTCCTCTTTTAGTTTATGGCGCGCAGAGAACTCGATGATTCTGTCAGCGATGTGTATTTGATAATGAAACATACATGAAACTTAATCTTACGGAACGAAGTTTACATCAAAAACACAAACTTAACGTGCTACCAAGCCAGGTTCTTTTTTATTGCGATTAGGATTTAAAATTAAGATTTTAACCGTGTCTTAATTGTACTCAACTGTAAAACTTGACTCGGCCAAATATGTTAGGGTAAAAGCACATTTGTTAATCGCTTAAGTTTGAACGAAAACGGTTACTCTGTTGGCCGCCATGATGGTTTCTCGACATAACGTCAATGAAACAGAATCATAGGCAGGCGTAAATAAACGTGATGTGAAACATTTCTTCGCGTAGCCCGACGAACAAATACGGTTGGATTTCAGTAGGAATTTAGTGCTTCATGATGATATATGAGCGGAGGATATGTAATTTTCTAATTGGATTTTTAGAGCCGCCCAAAAAGCAATATATATGTGAGACCGCGTGTAGAGGGTGTTGATAGAGATAGGAAATAAAATAATAAAAGGTCTTTCCGGCCTTTTTCCGTCCATGAACATAGTTCTGAATTGCCTGTTTCTTTCAAGTGCAATGATGTCAATTGGAAGCAACTCTAAACCATCGACAACGGAAATAACTAAAGAGAAATAATGATTAAACATGGAAACGTGAGGCGTTAAAAAGGAACTGCAGCAAAACTAAAAGAGAGGAACTTAGACGAGTTTTAACATTTTTGAAATAAGGCTTTTTGTGTCATTCCGCACAAGCTTCAAATCTAATTTCAGGACGCACTTTCGTACAAATATCCCGGCGTAAAAAAAAAAGCATGACCAACCGAGCATTTAAGACAAAATGAAACTGTTCTTCGATTTTTCCGTTGTGATATTTTTCGCTACCCACCATTTTTTAATATTTGCAAGAATCGTTAAACTTTCATTTTCTCCGGACGATTACGTTTAATTGAGACAGCTATCCAAAATATCGATAAGCCGGCTGTCAAATTTAATTCAAAAGGCAAAACTCATTGTAATATTAGTAACAATTCCACATTTGGGATGAAACTTGAACTTAAATTATACCTAAGCGGATATGAATCTAAAAACTGCAAATATTAGAATGGCACTGCATTTCAGCAAAGAAATAAAACTGATCGCTGCGAAAAAAAAAAAAAATTCTACAATTAGGACTTACGTACACTATAGAATAAAGAGATTACATTTTAGTTTGACGGCAATTCTCTTACACGATATCATACGCAGGCTCGAAAATTAAAGGAAAAGACCATAGCTTTTCACTTCCTTTAAATTTCGTTGAATTTCTCTGTTGTTAAACATACAACATGTGTGTCCAGTTTTAAAGTTGCGTAATCATCATAAACTCGATGTAATTCCTTTCCTTCGAAACGTGTAAGATATGTTTTGATTTCTTCAAGCGCATGTTAGTCTTTGGATCTAATGAAGATCTAATCTACAAATGATTACTGAATGTGGATAGTGGTATTTTTTCCATATTTTGTTATGTTTAAGACGTTTGGCACAATACACACCCTTTTCCTTGAAAATATATCGAACATTAAATATTTACCTGCAAGTTTCCAGTCTCGTGCTTAAAACGATATGATCTATGATGAACCACATTGAGGTTTCATTCGTCGGTGGACATTTGGTAGACCTATGAGTGATTTCAAAACCGAAACTAATCCTAGTAGACGACGAAGTAGTGAAAAATATTTATTTTAATATATTTTCCATTGTAAACTGAATGAAGCTTGGAAGTAAAAGTATCACTTTCTGTAACCGAGGTTGGCCTTTGCTCGAGTACTAATGTAACTTAAGTTGGAAAGGTAATGAATTTGTACTCTGTGTTCCCTGTTTGATTTTGAATTGTGCTACACCATGATTTTTATGGGTTGCAGAAGTAATTTGTCAGATGTGCCGCCATTTATGTAAAAATAAAAGTTTTTGAACTTACATGCTAATTACTAATCAGAGCGCCTCAATCCGCGCGAAACAAAGAAAGGATTACGAAGAAAATGCTTGAGTGAAGCAGCTGAGTTCTTCTAATGGCGTCCGACATTCCTAAAACACACTAGCAGAGTGTTTTGTTTGTTGACCTGGCTGGTTTTATTCTCTGCAAATGGGTCTAATATTCATGTTTGACAGGTTTTCTCTGGTCCGTGACATCAACATGTATTGTATGATTGTAAGACATGCATGTCTGTATAATTTCTTTGATTACTCTCTAAATAATTGAAGATGAGAATTCGGAGATGTTCAAATACGTGTTTGTCTGCATTTATTACTTTCTAAATGAAATTTAACTCTAACGCGTAATTAAATTCATTCAATAAATACTTTCTGGTTGTCATGAAGCCAAAAGAAGTTTTGTGAAAAATATTTGACATTTCAGGAGTTGTATTGTGTTAAGACTGAATTTTTTTCTCCATTTTCACTTTAGAATAGTTTAGGCTAGTGTCATTAGAATCTCACTTCACTACGATTTCCATTTTCCGTCAAATTAAGCAGTTATTAGGTGTAAAAAGTAATTACTCTTTCTACTGTCAACAGTGCTTTCATTGGCTACCTGATCAATAGGACATATTAAATTTTGGATGATCCATTAAGTTTCGCCAAGTATGAAGGTTGTTTGACCCACTGAAAGTACCTCTCATCAATTATGCCTTTCAAAAATTTTATGCGCACAGAATCTTCCCAGAAAGCGGCTGGGTTTTATCTGATTAAGTAGACACCCTTTGGATTTTATTCTTATACCAGGTGAGTTCAGTTAGGGTTGCTATTTAAAAAAAAAATGATGTTTAACGATCGCCAACAAGCACGACGCACTCGCACGCTGGGATGTATCTAGCACTCCTTTTTAGCCTGTCAATTGGTGAGTCGTTTGCAAACGCACATGAATTTTTCTCCATCATTTATCAACATGATGTGCCGTTCTATTGAATATTCAAAAATACCGCATTCTTTTTCTAAGTTTCGTACCTAATCGGCCGTATTAGGAATCTTGTAAGTATCGTTTAGTCACATCAAATATAATAAATAATGCTAACGAAGGTCGATATGATGACGTGGACCGCTGGCAGATCTGCCCGTCGTAGCTTCGATGCATTATTCTTGTAAGCTCAATTCTGTTTCACCTTTTCTCTTGCTATCTCAAATCAGCAAATCTACCGTTTACTCGCAGCAACTTCCGTGAATTCCAGATACTGGATGGGCGCAGCTTTTAAGTGAGCTGAAATTTCCTCATTGAACTCATTGTGAACTTTGTGAAAAAACATTGTGAACTTTAATATATTTGAAATTTCCTGTTTCTTTTTCAGGCTTTACGATATTTCATTATTTACTGTTAAACTGTGCGAATCAAGTTTTTACCTCCCATCCGCAGGAAAAAGATGATCCATCGCATGAATTCTTTCCAAAAATGTAATCTGTAAAAATGAAAAAATATAATTGCTTTTTCCCTTTTTCCCTTGGACTGATTTTAGAACTGAGTTTAGAAAATCCCCCTAAACATGGTGAAAGAAACAACAAGTGCAAATTCATTTAAAACAGTTACATACAAAGAACTATATGCTGACACGTTTTTATCGTTTAATTAGGTGAGAACACAGCAATGACAGACTCGACCACGAATTTCACTTTATATCTCAACACCTCACAGCCCACGTCAGGAGTGGGCGGTGGAGGGGGAGGATTTGGCGTCCCCTCAAAGGAGTCAGTCATTCTCGCGTGCTTCTTTTACACCGTCATTGCCCTCGTTGCCGTGTTTGGCAACTTCATGGTAGTAACAGCTTTCTTCATCAACGACAAACTCCGCACTGTGACAAATTACTTTGTATTGGGCTTAGCACTTGCAGACATTTTGGTGGGTGCTCTGTCAGTTCCCTTGTGGATGTACATTTTAAACTACTACGCGGACTTACGGCCTATGGATTTGAGGTTTAAAACCTTGAATGAACTCTATGTAGCGCTGGATAATTTTGCAGGGATCTCCTCCATTCTGCATCTTATGGCTATTTCGATGGAGCGATATTTTTGTGTTGGTTGGGCCGTGAAACACCGCAACACCAAAAAGTACGTTTACTACATTGCCTTGTTCCTGGTTTGGTTCATTTCAGCCTTGGCAGCCTCCATCAAACATACGATCCCTAGCATCGAAAAAACAGACCTTGTTCTTTTAACCTTTGTGGTCTTCTTTCTGCTACCATTGACGGTCATCATTGTGTCGTATGCAGCCATTTGGAAAATTGCCATGACCAGGATGAACAACAACCCCAGTAAGCGCTCCCTTAAGAGGGAAATTCGCACTGCTACAACCATTGCCTTCGTCATTGGGTTCTTCCTGGTTGCGTGGACTCCATTTTTCATTACACTTATAGTAGTGGTGTACTGCCCCACGTGTCCCTATAATTGGTCAGCGACGATCTTTTATAAATTTCTTCATTATTCCAATTCGTCAATCAATCCCATCGTGTATGGCGTCAGAATACCAGAGTTTAGAAAGACTTTCAAGTTCATTCTGCGGCGAATCTACGGACCCATCTTAGCACCATGTAGAAATTAAGTTAGTGTTAGTTTTTGAAAACCCTAAAACGCTTTTCAGTGATTTCATGACCTACTAAACACCATAGTTTTTACAGCGCCTGGAACCTTAAACATTTACCCGAACTCCAGAGCCACTTTCACTTTGTTAGCTATATGATTGATATAAAAAACGTGCATATGAACGAATGCAAGTTAAATCGTTGGTATTCGTTTCGATTTTTATTCCCCTCGCTGAGCATTTCATTTGATTGATATAATATTCAATTTTAGATTAAATTTTTTCATATATGCTCAATTTTGGACGTAAGTAATGAGAATGCTATATACGCCTGTAAACAGATAATGCTCAATCGCAACAGAATTGACTCATCTTAGAAATACAGCGTTAAAGCTTATTGACAAGAATAAAATATTCGTAATCTTTTATTCAATTCTCATTTTTCGTCAACTGATGATGATCATCATAATGTTTACTGCTTTACTGATGGCTTTAGACAAGGTATTAGAACCAGGGACATACCTTATTCCAAATGACATCCCCCTTTCGTTCTCATTAAATCCAAGAATCCTGGAATCGAAAATCCTTGGAGGATGTAGAATTAAACTAGGCTGTATGGCTAATTTGCTCACTTGCTACCTGCGCGGTACATACAACTTCATTCCAGGGATATGAGATACATAAAGCCCCAAAATAGCGTTAAGATTACCTTAAACGCGGAATTCTATCTCTCAGCTTCATTTTCTCTTTCTGAAGGTCCTTTACAGCCCCTCCCTTTCTCAGAAGTGTGACAGATTGTTATCATCAGTAGACTTGTTCGAGAAAGAGCGAAAAGTCTCTTATTTCTGTTGATGCAGCGCGAGAACTTCTCGAGCCACTTCTTGCGCGTGCTGAGTTTTTTGGGCTGTACCGTATCTATTCTATCCACTCTTATGTTCTATTCAAAACACTTCCGCGTGCATTTGATCGGTGTCAACGCGTCATGTGATTGGTAACGCTTCAGTTAAATATTTATAAACATCCTTTGGTTTTGTCTTGTGGATATTCCTTAATTTTGAAAATCCATATGCGTCCCGATACGAAGAAAGTCTAAACAGACTATGTCTGCGCATATTTTCGCGCCAAATTCAGACTATTGTTGGAGTATCACTAGTCTTCATGATGTCTACGCATTGATTTTATTAAGAAAAGGTACTCGTTTCAAGTCTCTCTTAATCAGATTCCTATTCTGACCCACTTTACGATTGAACACTCCTGGTGAGCCCCGGACATTTCGGAGGGGAGTAACGGAGAGTTCTTGATCCCTTTTCACGCACGAATGTTAGAACAATTCAAGCGTCTCGTATTAAAAAGGGAAAACTTCATATCTATCTGCTGGTGTACAAGGTTGCAGGAGAAATATTTAGGTTTTCATTAAATGAAAGAAGAGGTAACTTTTAGGAGGCAAATCACGCCCCGCGCTGGTCCATTAACTCACAATTCATGCTTGCCTTCCTGTAAAATTAACGCTTCACAATTTAATTTTGGCCTTAATTACTTTTCGTTCGAATCCTTTGCTACCGTCATTCCATGCAGGAGGGTACTGCCTCCTTGATTTCAGTAAAATCTGTTATTCCAAAATAAAGAGCTTCTGAGATAACCCGCTGAGGCCTTGCCAAAACCCATTGAACTCCGAGATTTGATTGTGCGAACATGTACGGCCATTGAAGAAGTTAGTATCATTAGTGATCCCTGAAAAGTTTCTCAATTATGTTCTTATATAAGTAAATATAAATAAATACTTCAATTCGCAATGAGGAGGTCGGTGACGGACTTCGTAGGTGTTTGAGCACCGATTGTTTGATTGTTCAACGCAGTCAGAATTCTTTTCCTCGTCACCCCGATAATGGTATCTTAAAAATTCCAAATTAACATTTAATGTTTATTCCTCAACGGAACCAGGAAAATATCTGTTAAAATTATCTTTCCGTCGTGATCTAGGGTAGAGTTCAAACGGAGCCGATATGTGCCATCTAGGTGTAAATAAAATTTCACGAAAAATTTTATGGTTCACCGTATTCAATCACTTATGCAGGTGTTTTTTTAAGAATTTGTAAATAAAAGTGTTACTTTTTGTAACAGTTGCGTTTGAAAATTAAACCAAAGCTCTAGTCATTGTTGCGCTATTAAGCACTGGGATAACGCAGCTAAGTCTCCGTCTACATTTTGTATAGGCCGTCCTCTTCTGAGCGTCTAATTTTTTATAATTTTATTCCAATGCTTTGTTGTATTCAAAGAGAATGGTCGATCCTACTTGATTATAAAACTAGCTGGATTTTTATCTTAGTTTGTTTTTCAGCTTTTGTGGCATTTTTAAGGGGAATTTACTCAACTGTTTACTGCTGGCGGTTTTTTTGTTGCTGTGTGTTTCATTTGTTTATTTGGGCATAAAATGTTAGTAAAGCTGGACCAGATTCGATAAACAACAGTGATCATGTTTAGATTCGTATACATATAAAAAAACATCAAAGCAAATTTCCAGCAAGTCTTAAATCACACAGAGGTTTCTCGCGTCGTATCTCTCTGGAAAGGTTGCGTCAAAATGACTTTATTATTTTGTTTCCTGGTTGCTTTCTGCATGTTGACGTTTGGATCACCTTTGGAACACAATGACCGTGAAAAGAGAGGTTTGTTGTTCTTCTTGATAATTTAATGATCAATTGACCATTTTTAGTATTTATCTTCAACCGATTGGAATTAATCGCTGAAATGGAATTGATTAGATTCGAGGAAGAAAAATTCTCATATTACTTGTAAAGTGAAAAATGATAGTTTTAATCATCAAACTTAATTGATACTTAAACAATAATCATCTCACAAAATGAAGGTTTTTGGAATTTCATCAGAAATGTTTCCGAAGAAATTGTTCGGCTGACCGAGTTTTTAGTTCTATGATTTAAGTTTTGAGTGACTTGTTACCCAACTTGCTCCCCGACCATTGCTCGTTTTCTGAAATTTAAAATTAACATAAAAGTATTCCCTTCCATGAAGCTTTTGTCGAAGAACTTTTCATTGCAATCCTTCTTTCTGTGGTGCTGTTTACCTTTTTCTTAGGCTCATCTAAAATTCGCGTCTTTGAGGGAGATATGTGGCTTACGGAGGAGCAGATTCAAGCAGCCGAGAATGGAATGGATCCTAATAACGCTGCTGGAACACGTGGTTTGTCAAAATACCGCAAATGGCCCAACGGCATTGTTCCTTATACATTGGCTGACAGTGCAGGTGATTTGTTTTTTTTAATGTATTAATGCACAATTAACTTCTGTTTCTCAAGTGGACGTCATAGCAGGGCAGCTGGGATCCTTTTGTCATAAAATAAGGAGCTACTATAATAAATGTACCAAATATTCATTGTAATTCATAAAAAACTGACTTTTTATTTTCAAACATACAGATAAGTGGTACAAGAGAGGAGCAATTTTCAGCGCGATGAAAGAGTGGCAGCAGAAGACGTGCATCAAGTTTGTTCCGAGGACAAATCAGAGAGATTACATAGAGTTCTTTGTTGACAAAGGGTGAGGCCTCTTGCAAACGAACGCTGGTGTCTTGTATTACTAAATCACCCAAAGCTCCAAAATTCTCTCTTTGATCAGCCTGCCTTGTAAAATTTTCCTTTTTTTGTTCCCCTTTTTCATTCATTTTTGGGCGTTTCAAGTCGGAGTTTGACGAATGTTCCTTGTACTATACAACGTGGTATGCCTCTCGGATCTAAATGTGCCTGTACGCCTGTTCTGGAGACGGAATCTTAAACATTTTAAAGGACTCAGCCACATCTCAGTGTTGAAAAAATAATAAATTCTAGGCTATTAAAGTTATCTTCACAGTTCTTCCTTTTCCATCATTCCTGCCGCTTTTCTAGGTGTTATTCATATGTTGGAAGGACTGGAGGAAAGCAACAAATTTCATTGGGTTTTGGCTGCGGTTACCATGGCATAGCTGTACATGAGATCGGACATGCTCTGGGTCGGTGGTTCAACTATTCACATGCAGTTTTTGATAACATACTCCACCCTTTCTACTTAATAATGCATAACACTCAATGTCAAGAATTTCTTGAATATTTACTGGACTGTTTCTGATAAACGGAACCTTCAAACCTCACATATATCTTAGAGGGGAACAATTTTGTTTCACTAAGGTCCTTGATCGGAAACTTCATAAGGGATTACTGAATCAAGTCTTTTCATCTGATTTCTTGGTACTGGGCGGTAAAAAACCCTGAATTTTTTCGTGTTAAGCATCTGAAGTCGTCGAGTTTCTTTCGCACAGTTTACCATCTTCGTTTCCCTTTTTCATATTTCCTTCAATATATCCATCATTGCAAATTATCACTTTAAAGGCTTTCTTCTATTTTAAGGCGTTTCTTCATAACGTTAAAATGACTCAAAAGATCGTTAGGTAGCTTGTTTTACTAGTTACAAATTGACAGAATGGACTAAAAAAGGGAAAAATTAACTTGATACCATACGATTATTGAACTACCGATTTCATCTGATTTATAGTTTAAACGGTATTTCAAGCGTGCCTCATATAGAAATTCAATTCATTTACTTGACTTCATTACAGGATTTTGGCATGAGCAAAGTCGACCTGACCGGGATCAATATGTGGAAATTGTGTGGGACCATATTAAAGATGGTGAGACTCCAAGTACATAAGAACCTATTAAGTGCTCTTTACCCGTGTCAGAAGTTGTACGTTTAAAAGCCAAGATTCGAATATCGTTTTTTGAATAGCGCGGTCCGTCAACCACGTGACACAGCCGAAACCACCTTAAACTCGCGACTAGGCTATGGACTATTTCTGATCAAAATTTTCAATTGACAGTTTTGAGCATCCAAATCATTACAAGGAACTTAAACTGAATGGTTACCTTCGACGGATGAAACAAGACCCAAAAACGTTTCGGTCTTTAAGCAAGTATTGGATCACAAAACCGACCGTACAAGACAGGCTTAGCTGCTACACAACGTCTCATTTGCAATCAGACACGTTAATAAATGTAGAAACCTCACTAGATCCTCCCTGCATTACTATCCAGTAAAGATCCTGAGTTGATTAAGTTTAAAGAGCTCTTTCAGACAGAGTTTTCCAGTAGGTCAGCGTCTTTTTCAAGCGATTGTGGCCAGCGTTGCTGTTGTTGTCGTTGTATCATTTTATTTTATTTAATTTGCTTTTAGACCAGAAGCACAACTTCAGAAAATATAGTCATGGAACTATCGACAGCCTCGGCGTTCCCTATGACTATGGGTCCATAATGCACTACGGGAAGCGTGACTTTGCAAAGTGGCCATGGCAAACTACCATCAAAACCAAGAATGGCGCATCCATCGGTCAGCGATCTCATCTTAGTGCGTTGGATGTCAAGCAAATGAATTTGTTCTATGATTGCAATAAGAAATAAAACTTATTGGAAGGTAGCAAAGAATATCCTATTGCTGCTTTGGAAAAGCGTTTTTGTAACTCGTTGAAAAAGTCAGTTTATTTCACCCCTGCTTCCCCCATTTCAAATATATATCCAACACATTATGACCCCGAAACTTCATTCATTTGCTGATTGTAAAACCCTCGTTTTCATAATATGACTGTCTTGTTACAACTCACATTATTTAGTGGGCTGAGTGACCGCGCACAAAATACAACGGTGCACTTATGTGCTAGCTCCCTGCTAATCTATTTGCAATCCCGACCGGAAAGCCAAAACTCACAAAATCTTTGTCCTATGTTATCCGATATGCACTGATGGTGAAAATGATTGTCATATCTAGTCTTAAAAAGAAGGCGTGTAGAAAAAAATTGCCAAAATCATCGTATCATCAGTAAAGAATTCGTTCCACGATCTGTCTTAAACCAAACTACAAAATTTCCTTTGAACTGAGCATGCACTGTTTTCGTTGTAGGTAGAAGCATTGGATCATGGTCCAGTGAGAGGTGGATGGAAATATAAACGATAACCACAGGTTTTAGTTCCACAAGAAGTCTTTTCAAAATCTCAATTATAAAACAGTTAACAGAAAATAAGACCCGGCCATGCGAGAGTCGAGGGATGCTGACGTACCAAATTTTTCCTCATGTGACACCAATCTACCTTGAAATTGCAAACGCCAAACATCTAATTTTGTTCCTAGTTGTTGGCTCATGTTTGTATTCATAGCAGAATTCCATGGAAATTTTGACATTTGGTGGTTGCGATGCGCACTTACCATCATTGTCACCTAATACATCGCAAGAGTATCATTTTTTATGACTTTACGTGTTACCATTTTAACCCAGGAGACCAAACTTAGCTGAAACAACTTAGAAACGGATGATAGCTGCAACACTAGTGGCTTACTTTTAAAGTTTCTCTTGTCCAATTTTCGGTGGCAATTTTCTAATGTGACATAGTGTCGCAAGAGTAGCAATATAATTTTTACAGTCGAACAAAAATATTTGTTGAAAAAGAGTCAGCACTTTACCACGGTCATTTGGAATAAACGGTTTTTGCGCACATAAACGTATGTATCGTTTGTTCAACTGGCGGCGTCGAAAGTCTATAAAGAGATCCTTTTTTTCCTCCACCTTTTCATGCTGAAAAGTACGGATGAAATTTATATTTTATAAGTAATCATATGTGCATATTCCAGTGAAACATTAATTAACCTTTGCCAAATGAAAGACATGTGACCTCAACTGTATAAATCCAGCCGCTCTTCTTCTAAAGGTGTTAACCTATTCAGTTAGCTTAACACTTAATTTGATTTAAATATATGTATTCAAGATTCTTCAGAAATTTTATTTTCATCTCTTTCAAATCTTTACGTTAATTCAACATTTTTCTCAATTTTCAGCTAGGTTTAACTCGCCATTTCTTTCTAGATTTTTCGCAAAACAATTACTCTTTTAAGCGATCGATGGAGACCAATTTGCACCGATCCCACTTTTGCACCTTGCTAAGATAGAGCAGTTGAAAATTTCTCTAAGGAAAGGAAATAAAACCTCCAATTCGGAAATTGCACAACTTTTTATAGGAAGAGATTATTTCTCTATTTCTTCTGGACATCCTCAATAATTTCGGCGATTTTGTCAATCTCACGGCTCAATTCATAAATAATTTTTAAATTCATATCTTTCAGTCAAACAAGGTTTGTTTTATTATGTTTTGATATGACATTTTAACGAGAGAAATAGATCTAATATATTCTAGCCAAATGAGCAAAGAAATTTGTTTGAATTCAGAGATCTAGAACAACTTATTTAGTACTTTAGGTGCAAATGACCTTGCTCATCCATTCATGTCTCCTTCGTTTGATCAACTGACAGCGGCTCATAAATTCTCAAAGGACGCCACAATTTTGATCGGGCCGTGAAGTTGAACTAGCTGTTTACCTCAATTAAAAGTTCGTGCTCAATCATTCGACACCTGCACTGCGGAAAAAAGAAAATTTAGTTAGCTGGATGTACCTAATTAACAAGAAAAGTAATCGACGACTATAAAAAGAAGCAGTCAGGATGGACTCTTCACCCTGCATCAATATGTTGCTCGTGCATCTTACTTTGCTCTTTGCTGCTTCTTCATTGGCACAAGACTTAGAGTACTCTGTAAAAAAAAGAGGTAAGTAGGGTTGTCTTATATGCCTAAGAGTGCTTCCCTGTGTTTTCCCTGTGTTTAAGTGGAAGATCATCACACATGTAAAGTGTTACTGTGAAAGTTATGCCATACTAAGTTCTATTCCACATTTCCTACGTTAGACGTTTTCTCTTGGTGAAGACAAATGAATTTTGCAATGGACTATCCTGAAGCCATCTTTCTTTGAATTACACAGGATATCTTACACCTTTTCTAGATCTTAACAATATCGTGTTCATGTGACAGCCTGTCCTTATCATATATTAAAAAAAATTTATTGCTTCAAATAGTTTCAACTCCATCTTACCAAAATCTTGAGTTAAGTTCTTTAGTCGATGGAATACTATAGTGTACACGCGTAAATTTTTGTTGAAGTCAATGGTTTCCAATTCCTCTCCTCATTTCTTTACTTCAGATGCCTCCGATCAGTATGAAATGTTCGAAGGCGACATACTGCTCACAAAAGAACAGATGGAAGCAGTAAAGAAAGGCTTAGGCCCCAATGGCGGTCTTAGCTCTCGCGGATTATCGAACAGCAATTATAGGCTGTGGCCGAGAGGAATCGTTTATTACACCATCGATACTAGTAAGTGGAATTTTATCACACTGCATAACCATTTTCTTCTTTCATTTCCATATTCTGACAGGTACTGATACTTTCTCAAGACTGAATCAAGGGAATTTTTTTCTCTCAATATTTGTCTCTTTTCATAACATGTATGTTCATACTAGAGGGCGCCTCCGATAACGAATGATGACGGTCACCTCAGGGAATTATTCAACATACATTAATTCCAATAGCGCAAACTGACAGAATAATACAATTAAAATAGAAAATCCTCTGAATGTTTTTCATTTCAGTCAGGCCAATAAGGAGAGCAATTATTCACAGCGCAATAAGAGAATGGGAAGAATTTACTTGCATTCGTTTTAAAGAAAGAAGATACGAAAGGGACTATATTGAGTTCTTTGTCGGAAAAGGGTAAGAATTTTAGAGATTTCCTTCTTAAATCAGTAGTATGGCAGTTATTGAGCATATATAGACACGTTTCTTTAAGCTTTTTGCCCTTGGATCAGCCCGAATGTATAACTGGGATCATAATTAGCCCTTGAATCACCGGTCCGGCGAATGTATAACTGAAAGCGCGCGCTTATAATTAATAACTACGTTAGTTTGTTTTGCACGGATTGAAACAGAAAATGTTTGAAAGTCTCAATATTATAATAGAAATGTTTGGCGTGCGACTCTAGCTTCTTGAGTGCTTAGCAAACCTCCCAAGTGCAACCAGAACTCGGTGGTTGCACGATGTACGCTAACCATATCTTAAGTTTTAGCTGGTATGCAAACAGTAGGATGAATAAGGGGATCCCTTTACCAATATTACCAAAATATTATCAATATTAAAAGGCGACAACAAGTATCGGAAATGTTACCACTGTAATATGACAAAGTTTATGGTTTCGTATGAAATATTTCCTACCCTCTCTTTTCAGATGTTACTCAACAGGCGTTGGTCGTTTGGGAGGGAAACAAAAAATCTCACTGGGTTTTGGCTGCATCACACATGGGATAGCCGTTCATGAGATTGGACATGCTCTCGGTAATCTAATTCAGAGCGGCAATGTTTTATTGCAAACTGACCTTCCTTATTCAAGCCTTCCTCTCAGCCACTATTTTAATTGATTTTTACACCCATCCATCAATCCATTCATTTATTCATCTTCCCATTCCTTTGGCCATTTCTTCGTCCATCCTCTTGAACCTAACCATTCATTGCCTCCTCAATTCATCCATGGATTGGTTTTCCCGCAGGAAGTTTACACTTTAAGTGCTGATAAATATACTTATATATGGCTAACTATGGTTGCAGGAATGTACCACGAGCAAAGTAGACCTGATCGTGACAAGTATGTGACTATTCACTGGGATAATATTGAAAAGGGTATGGTCAGCTTTATGTTATCGTAATCAAGATTCATGCAAGTGCCGCAGATCATGAGCGACACATTGTAAAAATTAAAAGGTCACAGCAAAGTTGACTTGAAAACGTCGCCTTCAATGCAAAAAGTGGCTTTGCGGTGGCCGTGAACCAACTTTAACTGTAATTTTTACTAATCCAGTACTAAAATAGCTAATGAACATTAATGCTGAAAAAAATGAGGAAAGAGTCTCGAGGCTCAACTAGTTTGCTAAAACAGCACAAATTCAACAATGACTCTTCGAGTTCCCCTACAGTCGCAGTGATTTCGCTTAATAATAGTAGTAGTACTGAGTGAGTCTTTAATAACGCGAATGATAAACACAATCGGACGATAGCAAAGTGAGAGTCCGATTGTTAATCACGAGTATGATTTCAGACAGAATTTGACGGTCACTTTCCTATTAATGCACAACCATTTTATACTTTGTTATAGTTTCGATTAAGCAGATGATAGCCTGTGGGTTCAGTTATTAGATATCTGGAAAGTTTTTCTCTTATGAAGAACTCAATCTGATCCTGTTATTTTAGGCCAAGCACACAACTTTAACAAATATAGCTACAGTATCGACAGTTTGGGATCCCCATATGACTACAATTCCATAATGCATTATGGCAAGCGTGATTTTGCTTGGCCTCCATGGAAAGTTACCATTGAGCCGAAGCAAAGAGGAGCAAAAATCGGTCAGCGGAGACATCTTAGCACGCTGGATAGGAAACAGATGAACAAGCTTTACAACTGCAATAAAAAATAAGATGGTGAGGCAAAAAGTGATATTAGATATGCTAATTTTCAAAAACATCTATGAAATGATTTTGAGGGTCTGGGGATGTTTCTATCTTATTTCTTCACCCAAATGTGAAGTTTATCATTAATACTTATCGAAAGATTGTGTAATCTCTTGTTCTTTTGCATTCTTTATTTTCAGAGGTTTCATTTAACTTTTAACGTATTTAGTCAGCAAGTCTTCACAAGAAAATAAGAAAGATAGCTTTTCTGTAAGACCGTTTCATTAAGGTTTGTTATGTAGGGGATAAGACCCCTTCATGATGAAATCTGAGCGTTGATAAGTAACAAGCATAATTTCTGCTGTACCTTTTCTCTATTGATATGAATTACGCATTAACGTAAATAACTTTATTTCATTTGCTAGGCCACCATATCCAAGGGCTGGATCCATGATGGTGATTAAGATAATAATTGTGATAAGTTAGTGGTTTAAGATGAACATCAATAAAACTCTTTAAAATCAACTGGTTGTGGTTCACTAGTTGTTTGATTGCCTTCTCTATAATCCATTTGCAGCTTTATATGCTGAAATAAAAGAAATAAATATGTTTTTTTGTGGAGCAAATGTATTTTAAGTTCGACGAGAAATATTTTCTCCAAATACTTTTCTTTTCATAAAAGGGAAGTCGTCCAAATAACTTGAATTTACCATTCCTTAATCTGCGTCGTATCTCTGAGAAATACGTCTCACACAAGTACAATTTATAGGGTTCTTTTCCTCCTAGTTAGTCCAATCAAAGTTTTCAAAAAAAAAATCAATTTAGCAATGCCGGTATTTTTTTTTATGAAGCAAGAACTTTTTAACTGAATATCTAAAATGAGGGTAATCCCTAGGCAATAATACTTTCTCAGAAGAGATCGATCAAGAGGACATTACCCGCGTATTTCAGGAACACTTGCATGTCTGAGAAACATTCCAGTCTTATCTTTTTACGGAGGAAAACAAGTAGAATAATCCTCGACCTACATCGTTCCCTAAAGTATGAATAATGTCTTAGGTTGGATGTGTATCAAAATTTATCAAACTGTTTTGTCGGCACTTTTCAAAGTTTATTACAATGGAATGCATATGAGCAAAGTGAAAGGATGACCAATGGGTTAAAGCTTGATAAATAAAATCGTGATAAATATATCCTGGATCGTGGTATTCCTCGTCCATGGTGAAAGATAAAATACCGCTTTAATTATAAAATGAATGGAGAGCGGAATGAAAATTTTTTTTTTTCGGGCAGTAACGTTTACTAAAGAAAAGGAGAAAAGACGCTTGAGACAAAAGAAAATCACGTCATCATATCCGGCTAAGAAATGAGTCAATATAAAAAATCGCAGACTCTCCGTTTGGTCAATTTAGAGTGAAATTTGCAATATTTATTTCCTAAAAGTAATTGCTTTATGGTTTAATCTTGCGTAGAAATCAGAAGGCAGTAACATTACAGTAGCTGTTCTATTAATCAAATAATGACTTTTTTTTAGAGGAATTTGATACCTCAGGTGCTAATGACCTTTTAGCCGTTTTCATCGACATCGTTTGATCAGCTGGCAGCGACTTGGAGAGGCGACAATTCTCGTCAAGATGTGAAACTTAACTAGCTGTTGATCTCAATTAAATTTTCATACCGAATGGTTTCACACCTGCCTAGAGAGCGAAGTAAGGTTTGTTTAGCTGGATTTACTCAATTAAAAGGCAAAGGGATCCCTGAAATCTCCTGCTATAAAATAAAATTTTTAGGATGGTTGTTCAGTTTTGTGTTAGCATCAAAATGTTGTTCGTGTGCCTGACGTTTCTATTGCTAGCTTCCTCACTGGGGCATGATATAACAAGAAGAGGTACGTATGATTCTCTGAAAAATATAATTACATTCGATTTAACTGCAGCTTCAGCTATTCCCATAATCGTAAACAGCTATCATCATTTGATTTTCTCCTCGTGCTTCTCATAGTTTAAGGGGTGATGTGAAGGTTAAGCGAATCGAACGATCAATCCTTGATGTTCTGTTGATGTTGGAGGCTTTTACCTCGTATAAACTATATTTCCAGCTACAGACAGTTTTACTTTGTCCTAGCAATATATTAAACTTTGATGTTAGGTTTATAAGTAATAGCTGAACTTCGTCATTTTTTAGGAACGCAAGGTTTTAACACAACTTTTTTTTCCCTTTTAGGTGCCTCTGACCAGTATGAATTTTTTGAAGGTGATATACTGCTTACTAAAAAGGAGATGGAGGCAGTCAAACATGGCCTGAGTCCTAATGGTGCCATTGGTGCTCGAGGGCTATCGAGTTACAAAGACAGGCTGTGGCCAAGAGGAATCGTTTATTACACTATTAGTACGAGTGAGTGCAATTGCGCTGTGCGCTACTCTCTTCCCTTTTAGCTTTTATTCCACTGATCTGAAATGTTTTGCAGTAAATTTTCTTTAATCTCTACGAACTTATTCTGAAATCATTTAAATTGATTGTTGAAATTATGGCTATTAGTCACACAGTCACAGAAAGCAGTAGGCAGAAACTGAATTTTCTATGGCTCCTTAATTCGCCGAAACTGTGCCAATGCTTGAATGCATGATTGCTCTTCTATTCTATTAAATAAAGATCTATTTTCTTTAATTTTTATCATTTCCCTGTACTATCAACATTCCAGTTGACAATGGAGGGCTTCGTAGATTTTCAGTGCAACTTCACAACTGCACATGCACTCATTGCACTATCAAGCAAAAACGTCCTTTAGACCAGTATCCTTTTTTTTTTATTCCAGTCAGACCAATAAGGAGAGCAATAATCCACAGCGCAATACGAGAATGGGAAGAGTTTACTTGCATTCGTTTTAAAGAAAGAAGATACGAAAAGGACTACATTGAGTTCTTTGTGGGAAAAGGGTAAGAATTTCGCAGATTTCATGGAAAGATCAAAATTAGGGATTGATTGGCTGAGTTAGGGAATCAGTGAACTACATATAGATTTAATTATAATATTTTGTTATTCTATTAGTTCTAACACTGCCGCAAAAGAAGTGATGAGGCTAGTTAGGACAGTTCACGACTTTGACTCTCGTACATTTCATGTCTTTTACATGGTATACCAATTGTCTTTTTGTCAGATGTTATTCACGAGGAATTGGTCGTGTGGGAGGAAAACAACAAATCTCACTTGGTTTTGGCTGCATCACACATGGCATAGCCGTTCATGAGATTGGACATGCTCTTGGTAATCTAATTAATTTTGGCAATTTTTTTTCTGCCGTGAATACCAAAGGGGAAGTTTACCATCCATCCATCTATCCACGTCTTCACCTATTTATCCATCCATCCGTTTCTCGGTTCACTCAATTTTTTTGGTTTGATAGTCAGCTCAATCATCCATCCATTCATAAATCAAGCCATTTATTGAAGACTAAAAGAATGAAAAGCCAATACCATGGCCATAAATGTAACTCATGTTTTTCATTTTTGTTTCAGGAATGTACCACGAGCAAAGTAGACCTGATCGTGACAAGTATGTGACTATTTACTGGGATAACATTCAAAAGGGTGAGACCGACTTAATGATATCATTGGTTTGTTAAGTGCTGTTGCTTCTCTGTATGTCGTCAAGTGCATGCTAATTGGTGATTTCATGGTACGATGTAGACCGCGCCACTATTCCGGTAAAAAAAAAAATTGAATTCAAATTATATAGGATAAGGTTGATAGGAGATTGCGAAAACAGAAATTTCAAACCTCCGGATAGCTAAATTGAAGATTGTTTTGCCAGCTGCAGTTTCCCAACGGTACTCTGTTTATCACGAATCACTTTTAGATTTCCTCTACAATCTTTTCTATAAGTCAAACTGTGCTTTTTCCAACGATTTTAAACACGTTTCCGCCTTTATTTCTATACTTTTATTTTCACCGAAACGTAAGAGCGTGATCTCGAACTCTAACAGCAGATTATGAGACGTTTTCGCGTAACATATGGCATGATAAGAAAAAAAGGAGTAAAACAAACAGCATTATAACACCATTAAGGGGAAAGCCCTGCTTATTTGGGATCATCTACGATTCTGTCAAGGGTCAATTCATCTTATTCTGCCTTCATATCATATCCTAGGTAGTGAAAGCAACTTCTACAAATATAGTCATCATGTAATCGACAGTCTGGGAATCCCGTACGACTACAGTTCCATAATGCATTACGGTAAGCGTGAATTGGCCTGGCCTCCATGGAAAGTTACTATTGAGCCGAAGCAAAGCGGAGTAAAAATCGGTCAGCGGAGACATCTTAGCATGCTGGATAGGAAACAGATGAACATGCTATACAAGTGCAACAAAAAATAAGATGGTGAGGTATCAAGTGGTATTTTAGTCAAAGTTTATATCAAAAACAGCTTGATAGTTATGAATTTTTGCCATCACTTCTCATGCATTTAACTTAACTTTATGCAGACGTCAATAGTTACCAATAACGCAGCATCATCTCAATAAAATCATACTACCACTCCTACTAAAACGATCACCACTATTATTACTACTACTACTACTACTACTGCTACTGCTACTGCTACTGCTACAACTACTACTACTACTACTACTACTATTACTACTGCTGTAGTTACTGCTACTGCCACTACTACTGCCAGAGCTGCAGTTACTGCTACTGCTGCTACTGCTACTACTAATTCTACTCCTGCTACTGTTACTGTTACTGCAACTACTAATGCTACAACTACTACTACTGCCACAGCTACAGCTACTGCTACCGCTACTGTTACTACCATTGCTATTGCTACTACTGCTGCTAAAGCTACTACTACGTCTACTACTAGTACTACTACTAATACTATTACTGCTAGTGCTACCACTATTACGACTATTTGTTATAAGAATAATAAAGTGACCTTAGGAGCATACCGTTGAGCTATTATGGCAAATGATGTTGGATGATGCAATTTTTTCATTCGCGTCTTACGACTGCTTTTTCTTTTTTACACCATTTTAGACAATTAAATCAATCTTTCTTTTTCATCAGCGCGTCACAATCAAGGGCTGGCTCAACAAAGGACAAAAGACCCCTTGAAATGATGATTAATAAAAATCTTAAATTGAGGCTTCTTTTCAGTATTGTCTTGATGTGACGTATAAGTAATTATCTCATGAAAAGCGTTATCTTTTTCATTTTTGAAGTGAGTCGTTATCTTTCGACTGCGTATTGTTGGCTTCTCCAAGCGAGGAAGTCACACATATATGATGTGCCATGATTGGTTGGAAAATTAAGGAAAGACTGACCGCAATATGCGTCGACTCAACTTTACCAACCAAATCGGAAGTGATTACAGTTTGAGAAAATATTTTATAGGTTATTTGTCTAATTAATTATTTCTTTTGATCGCTGATGTATGCTCTCTGCTCTTTCCCTTTTGAAATCTTTACAACCGCGTCATTTAACGGCCAGTGTAATTTCGATTGATCGATTGTTGCACACTGTGTTAGCCACAGCGAAAGATAGAGCAGACACAAATACTTTTAATTCATTTATTTATTCACTCCTTGGTCGAAGTTCATCCATCATATGATGAATAGACATCTGACTGGCCTTATTTTTTGGTGTTGCATTTATAATAGAGATTCATTTGCTTAACATCCAGTGGACTGAGATGACTCCGCTGACCAATAGACACCCCAGATTTCCTGGGTCTTATGGTGGTCTGCCAAGGCCATCGAGCAAAATCTCGCTTGCCGTAATGCATTATGGATCCGTAGTCATACGGAACACCCAAGCTGTCGATGGAACCGTGACCGTACTTATTAAAGTTATGCTTGTTCTCTGCAAAAAAAAATTTTAAAAATTGCCACCTTTTAGCGAGTGAGCGGACTGGATTGATAATCAGTTCGCGGAATAAAGGGAAACCCTGGTCAACACATCAAGCAATGCTGTGCTAATATCAAATCCTTGCTAACAGAAACATACAAACAAAGCTCGAGGGTCCGAACATCGACATGCAAATAACAATTGGATACAAGCTATACGGGTGTCCCATTATATTCGGCTCACTAATTACCTGGTTTGATATTATCCCAAACAATTTCGACATAATCGTCTCGGTCTGGGCGACTCTGTTCGTGCCAGAATCCTGCAAAAGACATTTATTTATATATTTGATAAATAATTTCGCAATTAGCAGTTCGCTTTCATGTAAATTCATAATATAAGAAGAGCGTCTTACAGTTCAGGTTTTGGTCAGAGTTTTGCTGTTCCCTTTCCCCGAAGGGATGTTTTCTACCTCCTGTAACCTGTTCCTTACCCCATCCTTATTAATTCCAGGGACAGGTCCTTCTCAGCAATATATCCTATAAACATTGGCATGTGGTCTAATACAAGACTCAGCTCGTCTCTTAATTATTTGAGTTGGAGTAACTTTTTATTTAGAAAACGACATTATACCCACCCAGAGCATGACCAATCTCGTGCAACGCGATACCGTGGAAGTAACAAAGACTACCGATTGAAATTTGCTGTTTCCCGTTTTTAAGATTTCCGACATACGACCAGCATCTATATGAGAGAGGAACACATTATCAAGACGCTTTTGCGTTTAATTATTGAAATTTGCTGTTTCCCGTTTTTACTATCTATATGAGAGAGGAACACATTATCAAGACGCTTTTGCGTTTAATTATGGACTATACCTGAATTAAGCTGATTTCAAATTGTTAATTTAGATTTTATAGTTCATTTAGATTCGATTTTTTTCAATTCGTGTAAAACAAGCAAATTAACACACACACACGCAAACTTAACAATAATAGCATCTTACCCTTCTCCGGCGAAAAACTCAACATAATCTTTCTGGGTAGTTCTGGGTACGAATCGAATGCAAGTTTTCTCTTCCCATTCTTTCATGGCGCTATATATTACTCTCTCTGTTGGTCCCTTTATTCCGATTGCATTAAGAAATTTGTTTTCTGAATCATTGATAAGAATATCGTTAACATCACACAATTAATGACAAGTCACTACTCTACTGTTAATTCAGTAACATTTCATAAATACAGCTCTATGTGATATATTCTTTTATGATCTCATTTGGAAATGCGTCACGAACTATTTTAAATAGATACTTCTCTAGATAAATATCAAGATGAATGCTAGTTTTTTTTCCGTTTTGCCTGAACAGAAAATAATCTGGTAACCGTTATATTTTTAATGCATAACTAAAGCACACAACGCGTTTCATATCTCATCTTTTTTTTCCGTTTTTAAAAACAAAATAAGCGAAGTGATGGCTATTTTTGCAATTATATTCGGTGAAATCTTATGTCATGGGAGGACAAAAGATGAAATTAAAAAGTGACAGACATGATATGCTCACTCGCGCTCGAATGTATGGTATAAGGAACCACTCCACCAGGCCACTGGGCGGAGCGTTTCAATCCACGGGCTCCTCCTAAATTAGTTGGATCCAGGCCTTGCTCTGCTGCTCCGATTTGTTGCTTGGATAACATCATGTCTCCTTCAAATCTTTCAAACCCAAAGAAACCTTTGAAATAGGTAATTTCCATGTATTATGAGTCATAAACTCAAAAAAAAAAAATTCAAAATTTGAAAATTAAACCTGACAGAGTGTATATGCTGTTACAGGTGAAATTTAAAAAATTTCAATCGTTGACTGCTCAATTGGGTTGAAAAGTTGTAGACTTCTTCCAAGGGACTACTTCTTTACCTCGTTTTTCTCCATTTTCCTTCAACACAGGGACTCCCAGTGAGGAAGAAATAAAAAGCAAAAAAAAGATAGAGAACATCTTGAAAAAACAACAAAGCTTCGTAACAGTTAGCTTGCTTTTGATTATCTTCACAGATTGTGGTTTATTTTAACTGCACAGTGTCAGTTTAATAATCCATATTCTCCTCACCTGCAACTTTGACCTCACGCACACTAACAAGTTCCTGTAAATATTGAACCAACTGGAGGAGACGAAGACCAATCGAAAATATGGTAAAACAATTGATTTTTTTCTTTTCATTTTAGTGTTATTCCAACTGTGTGGGTGCCAATTAGCAAGATAAAGGTGCCAAACTCAGAGCTGTATAAAAGTTTGTTTCTTTCGGTTTTTGTACTGTTCAAGCAATTTTTTGTGAATACACTCGTTGAAATAGCTGAATACCTGAGACCACAGAGCAAGACTGAAGCTGACAATCGGCTAAACATATGGTCAAATTCTCCCATAGATCAAATTGACAATGGTAATGATTTGCCATCTCTTTATTTTTCCGATAGAGGTTTCTTACCCGCCGCTATCCACCGCTCATAATCGCCTGATACTTTGGAAAGTTCCATTCTTGGAATTTATCTGTGTTGTAGTGACAAGAACTTCTTGAATCGCCTCGCAATGAATAGTTTGCCAAAACCAAACTGCATGCCATAGTTTCATTTTAAGTAATATTTTTTAACTTGAATTACATCGCCGAAGTCAGTAAGCAAAAAAGGGCCGAAATGCAAACAGATATTTTTTTAGTATATTTACTTAAGGTGTTAATAAGGGGTGCCATGTACCACCAGTTAAGATCTTTCTGCCCACTAAAACTTGCTCTATACTTTTTTTGGTAGGTTTTCTTTTTTTCAGAGGGATCACATCTCTCAAATAGAATATCCTTATGTTTTGCTCCTTATGCACGACCACTAGATGCCTGTGGGAAGAATGGAGAAAAGATCATTTTAAATGATGTGGGCTTGGGTTTATCTTTATAGGAAAGATAAGAGTATTTTAGGAGACGCGGGTCTTGAGGAATATCAGAATTTATTTCCAAGCTAGCTGTAATGGACATTAAGTAAATGCATATTACAGTATCTTCTTGGAAGATTGCATCTGTACTTCCGCGTTGCATTCCTCGTCAAGTTTAGGGTCATTCTACAGTGGAAAGAAATATATTGTCTTTTTCCCAGAATAGCTGATTTCTAAGTGTTAAGTGCACTTTAACCGTGGCATCTGCGAGTCCTGGGTGGTCACGAAGCTCTCCCAGTATTGCACTCGACTGGTTGATATGGCAGTATTCCATTCTGAAGTTGCACTAGTCCATGTAAGTGTTGCCATGTCTCCAAAAGAACATTGGGGACAATTATCTTGACATTCTCTTAAAATGACCGTACAAGCGGAAACAGGAGACGTACTACGCTAATAAATGATTTCTTACGAAACAAGAAATTCTAATTTAGATACTTTTGCTCTTATGCGGTATTTTTGTTTAGCTCTATAACTTCAATACAGCCTAAAAAGCATACGAGAGAGGCTCTAGCGCTTATCAGATCTTTTTTTACCACTTCTCGAAGCAAGTGAAATTCTTAAATCAGCTCAATTTAAGAACTTTTCCACAAAATTTTTTAATAACAGAAAAGCAATTGTTGTTGCGTCAAACACGATTAACATAATTTCCTGCTCTAAGACTCTTGTAAGCTTCAGGATGTCTCCATAATATTAAAGAAAGGTGTTATTTCCTCTGCAATTCTCTAAAATCTCACATAGTAAGTCATTCTTCTGTCTCTTTAGTGTTCTCCTCGCTTGTTTTAGAAGTATGTTGTGGTTCCACCTAAAAAGCACAACACTGTAAGTAAAGAAAAAAAAGCGAAAAGAAAAAGGAAACCCCCAAATTTTCTTTTGGACCGAACTGCTCGGAATAAATGAAAGAAGAAAAAATATAAGAAAAAATTATCCTCTCCACGTTTCGTTTGTATCATTCAGAGCACGTGCAAACATGGTGTTAGCAACATTAGCAACATTTTTTGGATTAAAAGTGGTACGCGATAGTATTAAACATGACTTAAAGCTTGCTTTTTTGTTTATGTCTACTTTATTTACCTGAACAGAAACAAATATTAAAGGGGAATAGTTTGCTTTATCTATTTTGGCTGATTGTATTTTTACCTTCGATGACATTCGTCCACCTTCCATAGTTGAGCCAGTGGCAGTTGAAAAACTATTGTCGTCTGCGGTTCTTAAGAACATTATCTACAATAAACAAACCGTATGATTTAGTTTCAAATTCTAAAACTAAAACATCACTGCCATGGTAATGGTATAATGTTCCCCAGCTTTGTTGAATATCATGGTGATGAAGATATAGCTGAACCCTTTACGATTATGAAAACGAATTTAATTTCGCAAGTGTCGCGCACTATATACGACACGAAAACTTACCCATAAAGATGTTTCCTGTATATGTTTCTAATAAAGTAAAAAAGTAAAGCCTTTATACAGGCCCAGGTGGCCCATGGGGCCGGCGCTTAACTCCGGTTTCCTTAGCATGAAGCGACTAGGAGTATTGCCACTCCCCCCTGGATGGGATGCTAGTCCATCACAGGTTACCCCCAGCATATTTGCTGGTACCCATTTGTGCACCTGGGTGAAGAGAAGCACTGTGAGAGTAAAGTGTCTTGCCTAAGAACACAACACAATGACCCTGGCCAGGGCTCGAACCCGGACCACTCGATCCGGAGTCGAATAGAATGCTTTTATCAGTTGCACGAATTGGTGAAAGAAGCAGACGTGTTCATGACACAACTCGAAGCTAAGCTATCAAAAATTACTCAGTAAACTAACCTTTGGAACAAAAACAAGACTCAGAGTAAACGAGGTACTGAAGATGGTGAGGAACGAGGACAAGGAAAACTGGATATTAGGTCGGTCAGCGACAACACCAAGAATAGGAATTACGAGGATACAAGGAATGATGACGTTATACACGGACAAGCCAATCAGCTTGCTGTCATTTAAAGCAGGGATATGCACTTTGCGGGTTTCCCAGGCCAAGAAGGCTCCAAATAATAACAACAGGCCTAAAGATAGAAAGCCACAATGTCACGTTGATTAGTAAATAATTTGCACCGGTTGTTCATTTGATAAATCTCAGTGAATTTAATAGATTGGTGAATCACTTTATGAGCGGTTTACTTCACCACTTATAAGTCTCATCGAGAACATTGTTCGCTAGAACCAAATTTGCATTGACGTCAACACTCGAATAAGTTTATTTAAATCTCATTTTATCCAGCTTTATTACTTTGAAGAAACGGACAGACAATGGAAATCGTCTGGTCTCAGGAAAAATGATCCGGTTTGTTTACAGCGCACGACTGTAGAAGCTAATAATGAATGAGGTTTTCTAAGAATCAGTGTCTGACACTGATCATCTCCCAAACAAGCACAGATCACTCTCCAAATAAGCTTTGATTAAGGAATCTCCCATATTCGCGATGCAAGATACGCTGGGTCGTTCATCAGCACTTAAAAATCTCTGACTACTACCTTTGTACACGTATATGCAAGCTAGCCATATCGTTATGTTCTCACAAGTACACATGGTTATATACGGTTGTATGCCAGTGTCATCTTCTTGTGATACCTATGGGAACAATTCGAAAATTATTCGAAAATAATCCAAGTTACTCCAGCCAAAATGAATTTTTAGCATTCAATGACTTGTAGAAGGTCAATGTGCACTATTCAGTGCCATATTAGATGTCAAAAAGTTAACGACAGTCCTAGACTTTCCAAGAATTGATAACATAAAGTCTTCCCATTGCAGTGGTGCAGGAAATACACAATTCAGCACCTATACAGCCCCAACTTAGACTTTTGGAATGACAAAGATTTTCGCCACCCTGGTCTCATGCCTTAATTTCCTTAACCCCCGACTCTTAAGTTTCTCGGCGAAATGTAATGCAGTTCCTGTTGATGTTTCAATGAAGTAGGAAATTAAGCCTAATATAGCTATCAAAGTTTAAATCTATTTTTAGGCTTCTTAAGCCCAGACTTGCAAGTCATTTCAGGTTTTGGTGGCATGAGCGCACGTTGGAAGAGATCTCTCTAGAGAGGCGAGTCAAAGCTTTCCCTCGAGTTCAAAATCTCACCAACTGATTAGAAATTTTTGCTCTTTACCTGCAGCGTCAGGTTTTCTACTTTATTTGTCAATGGGTCGACAATCTGCCACGTGACGAGAATTATGATATCAATTAAAAGAAGAACAGCAACCATACCAAACAACTGACGGTCCCGGATGATAACCTGAAGGAAAATAATTCAGAAAAAATCGCGTTTAGGGATCTTTCGAAATGAAGATTACCTAGCAGTTACATATATCTATCCATCTATATGTCTATCTATATATCTATCTTTCTACTTATCTTAACTTCTGTTGTTTATTGTTTATCTCGTTCATTCGTCTGCCTATGCTTTATGCCTGCCTCTCTTTTTGTCTTTTTCTCTGTCTTTTTATTGACAACGACTCGCAGAAATATAAGTAACTTGTAAAAACATTGGATCTATGTTCAATTTTAAAGTTGATCGTTTGAGTTTATTCAATCCTGGGTAAATCAATTGTCCTAAAGGTAAGTTGAATGACATAGCATTTGATAATTGGAAAAACTGAAAAAAAAAAACAAAAAAAACTGGAGCAAGTACAAAAGTGAACTCATAAGGAAAGCACTTAACGTGACTAATGTAACAGGTTGTCAAAACTTTAGATTAAGAGAGAATCTTTGAAGAGTTTGCTCAGTATACACTCACCTTTTTTGTAGTTTTAGCATTGAGAAATATTACATGAACTCTCCAGGTTTTGCTGAACATCGCTCCAAAGCCTAAGCTGAATCCAATCATTGCAATCCATAACTCCAACTGAGAATAAAAAGGTTTCGAGGAATAAATTAGTAAGTGTTACTGTTACCAATTTTTCTTTATTGCCTGTTCGCTATTTACTATTTCCCTAGCCCTCAAAAATTTCCTTCAAGTTAACTGATGTGAGATGGTATAGTCCATAGATGCCCTGCTTTTACACCATTTAATTGTTACATTAAAAAAGCGTCTCCAGACATTGCTTTGTTAACTGATTCTACGAAAAATACTAGGTCCAAGATACGTAGCTCAGATATCATGGTCTCCAAAATTTTAATAAATAAGAATTGCATTCTACCATAGCTAAAATGAAGACTTCATGGTTATTTTGAGCAAATCAGAAGTTTATACGCATTTACCTGACACAAATAACTTGCTTGCTCTTTGTTTAAGCCGAACAGTACACCCGCCACATAGACAAGTATGCAACCGACTATAATAAGGTTATTAAGATTGGGTGACGACATTTTTATGTACCTAAGGAAGGAAGAAAAATAAAGCAAAATTTATTTATCAATGACTCCTAAGCTTAGATGATGGCCCAAACCCCTGATTCCTTTTACATTATTATTGTTGTGAATGCTTTTTGCCACACTATTAACCCCTCACGCCTTGTTAAAGGCGTGATTGCTTGTTTGAGCTTTAAAAGCAGATGCATACGTACTTGAATCTCCTTATCTAGAATAAAAACTGTAAAACAGGTACCTGATATTTTGGTTGTATACATTGAATATGAGGAATCCGACAGCCATCAGAATTCCAAGGATTGATACAGCGATGACAAACCACAACACCCCTGGGTCAACTCCTTCCAGCTTTTCTTCTATCCTAAGACCATCAACGGGGACTTTACCACCTTAGCATGCAAAAAAGTAAAAAAAAAAAATGGAATTTCACTGTGATGAAATAGAAATGTACGTCATATATGGGGGTAAGTTTTTTATACATCCATCAGAATAGATAATGACAACGTGATCACAACTCTCTTCCTTCTCTAAGATAAAAGATCTGAAATGCTAAAGTTATTTTTCTAAGTAGAATGTATAATAAAATATCTTGGCGCGAATGGCACTTTAAATTTTACTCTACTCCTTGAGAAACTAATGACGCCTTCAAGTTAAAAGAAAGAGATTCTCTATAAGTATACAATTATTCAAACAAAGCAACATAAAAAAATAACGGGAATATTACCATCCCAGAAGTAATCACTGTTGCGATCTTCTTCATATGTGTCATTTTCCATGTCGTAGAATGCAACTCTTCGTTCGGTGTTTCCTACACGACGAGACAAACAAAGCCTTTAACAGATTGGGTTTGAAGGTAAAATAAAAACATGTAGAGGTGTGTGATACGAGAAAGGCGATGAAAATTTGTCACACACGGTTAGTACTCGCCTTGTATTTGTCGGACCTCCAGTTTTGTTATACGGTCATGGTTGCTGTCGAACTTCACCTGGCCCTACAAATAAATTGAGGAGATGGAATTCGATAATCGAGAATGGCTTTCCCTCAAGACAGCAATGCAATCACAGATTGCTAACACAGCCATTGCGATTGAGTACAACTTACTGTCATTCCGGCGAATGAAATCCTTTTCATTACGTCGACAAAGACTTTGCTCAGGTTAGGATGGCTATAGTTGAACTCATTCAGTTTGAAGTTCTGTTTTTCCAAGACATCAATCGATGCGTTGAGAGTCAGCGCGCATGTCCAGACCGCGTCGTATCCATAAGAAGCAAACGTATTTTCGGAATATCCCGAGTTGTTGAGGCGTTCTAGATATTCAGTGTAGAGTTCTTGGGGTGTCTAAGAAAATTGACAAAAGAAAAATGAATGCAGAAGATATCTATTTAATCTGTGTTAGCATAAAACTTCATGACCGTGGATCATTTCTCTTAAGATCAGAAACCTCTAATTTAAATATTTTGTCGTGGGTACGAGTAAAGCCTTGGTCACATTGTTTTATTTATTTCTTATTAGCGATATTTATGCAGGCTGGCCCTGGTTTGAATTGGGGCCTGCAAGACTTTTATTTTGTTAAACAAAGTAATAAACTATAATCACCAAAAGGTCAAAGCTTTCTTCGTATTTTTTTTCAAATAGGTGAAAATGATGTCTCTACGCTTAGTGTTGTAACTTGTATTGTTATAATATTATTTTTCTATACGTATTTTTCGAGGCTTGTTACGTGTGATTTCGGTATGGTATGTAAAAGAAATAAGATTTTCCCTCATTCTCATTCATTCATTTCAAAAAATTGGATTTGGAAGGTATGTTGTCAACTATACACTGTACATGTTTCTCCCTCGAGTCTCTTTACGTAAAAAGAGAAGTTGATTTGGCTTAGGGTTATGTTACATACTTTTCCAAATTTAGTTGGTCCCGAGACAGGACTGAGTTTCAATTCTGCAGTTCCGATATTGTTACTCAAGCCTTTTCGCACTTCCTCAGGAGTACAATCCACGAGAGGGCTTTGCACTTTCCACCAATTGTCCGGATTTCGACCAGAGATCAAAATCCACACATATTTCGGTCCATACATACCTTGCTTGAAAGCCTGTAGATGATAATTCAGACACAGAAATTAACTGATTTACACGTGAAACGGTTATCAGTTTTTGACTAGCGTTATCTAATTTCGTATTAACAGTCGTATTTTGGGTTTCAGCGTTAGTGAATGGATATATTTATAATCTAGCAAATGGACCTTAAAATTATTGTACAGAGTCTCTGTTAAAGGCTCCAGTTCGTTTTAAGTTCCGTTCCTTTCTTTTTCAGTCATTTACGATCAGTCGTTGACAAAGATTATAAACTGCAAGAGATTTACGTACAGTTTATAATCTCTTGTTGTTCATCATGGTATGTCTCCCTTCTGGTTACATTATAAATGAAAGTATGAGTTCAATCCCATCTTCCATTCAGAGACGGGAGCTGGCGATCGTTTCTCGCTCACTCTGGAAAGATTGATAATTCATCGGAGATGAAATTTTCTTACTTTACGCCCTTACCTCACAAAAGGTGACATAATGTTGATCTGTATAGAAAAATGCAAAGATGATACGGGCATCTTTCCTCTGAGGGATTTAAAATAACAATTGTGTAAAGTTTATGTCATGACCCGCTGAGGACTTGATCTGAACTGGACATAAATAACCCTATAATTATCTGGATTATCAGCGTAAATTGCGTTTGCTTCTTTCTTCTCATCGGTACTATCTTCAATAAATCGATGCGATATTTATTCCAAAGTGACCATGGAAAGTAAGGTGTTCATTGTTTAATCACTGAGCGTGAATTGCCTTATGAAAACGGAACAAACTTTAGATAGTTTACCTTTAGGTTCTTTATGGCAAACTTCGGATGATCTTTGAAACTCTCGTAGGCAAGGACGGTTAGATTGGCAGCACTCAGCAAATCAACAAGAGAATTGCTAATTCCTGTGAAAACGTCGTTGTTTTGTTGCAGAATGGCAACTTTCTTCCAGCTGAATCGTCTAAGAATCGCAATTCGTCCCAGATTGGAGAATTTCTCCGAAGGGTTGGTTCGAAAGTAGAGGGGAAAAACGGCTTTTGACGATAGCAATGGGGAAGAATTTGAGAAGCCAATCTGAGGAAAATAAAATTTGAATAATGCTTTTGTTGTTATTTCAGAAAAAAAAATCATTCTCGGTCTCTCCATGTTCTTTCATTTGAAAACAATTCCGAGGAAAACACCTTCATTCCAAATAAAGTTCCTAATAGGTTTGTTCTCATTTATCTCTAAAAGCAAGGTGTAAAATATTCGCCAAAAACCTGGCATTTGATGAAAACCAATTATAGAGCATAATTCATTGTTCCGGTCAAGATCTTTGATCTTCACTTTTCCCCGGCTTCATTAAAATATCAGTTATGTGATTTATCCTGCTCTTAACATAGCAGGTGAGAGAACTTACTTGCACAATGTTCCAGTAATGAATGGCTTCCGCCACTGGCATTGCGGCTTTAGAGCATCCGGGGCCTAGAAACATGATTTTGGGTTTCCCGGATGATATGTATTCCAAAGTTCTGCGGACAGCCTCGCCAACATTGCACTGAGTGTTAAAAAAAATGAAAAGTCCAAATCAGTGCTGAAATTAATCTAGACTGCCTCTACATCGACTATCGGAATTAGATGTGTCATTTCATGATCATCCAACAAACCTTAAAACAATGTTAAAACAACGAAAAAGTCCAAATAAATGATGAAATTTATCTAGTCTGCCCCTGCATTGATTATCGGAATTAAAACTGTCATTTCATGAACATCCGATGAACCTTAATTAATATGACAAACTCGTTAGATTTAAAAATCCTTCAAATCACTTGGACGTCCCAAACTGAAGAAACGAATTTTCCTGGACGGAAATTGAATTTCTCGAAGTTATCGCGGAAATAAGTGATATTTACGTCGCTGTACCGATCAAAATTATAAACATGAAGCACCTCGGCACGTAGAAATGTTCGTTGATGCTTCATTCGTTGCAGAAACATCAAATAGAGTTTTAATCCAAGCTGTGCAAACAAGACTTGTGTAAGCGTTGGGAAAAAGGATGAATACATTAACTATTTCCTTGGGTGTCAGGAAAATTTAAAAACGTGTAAACGAACTGCTTCTTCTCTTGCATATATTACTTCCATATCTTACTCTCAGGGAAACAAAGTGAAAAAAAATGCTTCCATAGATTTAAAGGTTGTTTAACTACATTAAATTATTACAATAATACGCTCTGACTTGTTTTAAAGATTCAAAATGCGACTCAACCGCTGTCATTATTTGCAGAGGATTTGAATTTTAAAAGATTCATATGGTTTCTGTGAGAGAAGTTTCCTTTATATTTTACCTTTATAGTTCACAAACCTGAGAATCCTTTATCAAAAGTTGCAGGTGATAATCCTTGAGAATCTCCGTGTTGTTGTTTATTTCATCGATAGCCATCTGAACGGCGGGAATTATTCCTGCCGAGTTCCATCCACCGCCACTTGTGTCAATACCAAACAGTCCACCGATGTAAAGTGTTTCTTTAGCTTTAGAGTGTGAAAAGATTAGGGGTAGAAGCAGGAAAAAGCAGAGTCTCTTCCTGGCCATTACGGTTTGTTTCGAATCAAGAAACGACGCGTCATTCATGTAGACTGTCGAGGGATTCGTTAGTATTATCTTTATAAATGCTTTCTTCTGATAAAAACGTGATGAAGTTAGTTTACACCTTCGGGTTTAAAAGGGAACAAATATTGATTAATGAAACATTAATTTCTAAGTCAATAATTGAACAATTCTCATCAGCGCTTGGTAGGCAATCGTATACATGTGCGAAGGATTTGTTAACGATATTCCATAGAACAATAAAACCGTCTTTTTAAAAGCACCAAAAGATTAAAATATTTGCAAATCTGCACCATCGTTTGGCATGGATTATAATAGTTTCATCTTCCAATGAGACTCCTCTTTAAGGTATTTGAACATCAAACACGGTCTCGGTGCTGAAGCAAAAGGATGCGCCAAGTTACAATAAATAAAAGATCTCATGAAGGAGTGACGAATACTTTTTCGAGAAGTATAGATTACATGCTTATGCAGTTATCTAAACGCCGTTTCTAAACATTTCTTTTTACTTTTGGATGAAAGCAATAATGTCAAACGGTGAAAATCGTATCTCCCTGGATTAAGTTGGATGATGGTAAGCCAATCGAAAAAAATTAGAAAGCGAAAGCTTTCTATTTATTACTCCTTTTTATTTTCAATCAACAGCAGGTCGATAGCTCAGATTTTATCTTACCTTCATTATAGACCGGTGAATTTTTGTTTCTTGTTTCCTTTTCAATCACATATGCTCAGCCCCCTTTGCGAAAGAGGTCGTTGCACGATAGCCAATAGAGAAAATATGTCAATGATATAGTATATCCAAGACGTACACAGTCTATACTTAGTGATACTTAATGACTCCTGCAAAATTGAAAGCTTCTCTACCAACAAATATCCGTGGAAATTTGCATGTTTTTAATGCCAAAGCACTATCAACGTAACCGTCTAAAGCAATTAAAATGATATATGTGCCCCATTAATCTCAAATTCTGTGCAGAAAACGGATTATTTGCTTTGCTTAGGCGTGCTACATTATTAGAATTTATTTGTATTCATCACTGATTACAAACGGGTTTCTTGGAATAAAACAATGTGGAAATCCAAAAATTACCCACTATTTCTCTTCAAATAAAGTTTGAAACTTCTCAAAAACATGTAATGTATATATTTGCGTGACGACCATATTACTCCCACAGAAAATTTTTGGTATTACTTAGGAAGGAAAATAATGGCTCCTCAATTCTTATCAGCTGCGTCCAAATGGCTGTGTTTTGACTGTTTACAGGGCTAATTTAAACTAGTTTATGGTCGAAAATAGATGAAAAAGAACACCGGTGAAGGTAAAGGACTTGAAAATACTGATGACGTCTTTGGCATATCAATTAGCTTTTCAATCTGTGAGACTCTTTCCGATGATGCATCTCTTTTGGCCCAAGAGCATGCCAGGTCCCAATCAAGATGAAGAAGTGTGGGAGGGGGTAGTTGAAAAAACTTTCGAGGAAACTTTTATGCAAAATTTAATGTTTCCTCATTAGCACTCATGGGTTAATCAGTAAACAGACATTGCTTGCGACGGTTCTGGCATAGAATCAAGTATCGCTTCAACAAGATGGTGAGTAAACCCAGTAAACCACAGAACTCGGACAAAATCGAAAATGATGTATTTCCGAAAGCTCCTAAATATTCTTCACTCTCTTGAGTGTTTGTTTTCTTCAAATACGCTTGTAGGTAAATTATTACTCATGTAACTGAAAGGTTCCATTAAAACCATTTTGTTATCGGAAGACAGACTGACTCATTTAATTTGGAAGCGTGAAAAATAATATCGTACCTGTCGTTTCGATGTCAACATTTGATTGACAGCCTAAATTTTCTTTGTCTAGTAGATTTGCTCGACGGCTCTAGGAGACCAATAAGATGTTGATCGTGACTTAGAGTAAAGCTCTCAATTTCTCCCACGGAATATTGCACCGAAAGTTCCAGTTGTACTCATTTGCAACTACTAAATATCATTCGAGAAATTTAGTTTCAGAAGATTTCATTAAATTCAAAGTCAAACAAAAAAGCACTGACATGAATACAAATTTGGGCAAGGTGTTTAACGAGGGACAGGTGATTTTGATGTCGTCTGAAAAAAAATTATTTTCGCAAAAAATATTCATGGCAGCTCTGTTTCAACCTTTAAAAATCTTGCTTTTTCATTAAGTCAAGATGAAACGCAATTCAATAACACTTTAAAAACAGTCATTGGAAGAATAACCTTTTCGACTTTCCTTCATTCCTAAGACACAGCACTTAAGGCCTTAAAATGTTCAAAGAACATCATTTTGTATGATTATTTTTGTATTTATACGCAATCTGGAAATAGTTGACACTTCAGTTGTACTTTGTTCCTTGAAATTGGCGATTTTATAAGGCCATCTTAGAGAAAATGATTTCCTGAAGTTAACTATCGCTAGTTTATACATACTAGACAAGAAAACTTACCTTTATAAACCTCAATTTGAACCAGGAAATCCAAGGAGTATAGATGAAATATAAGGGATTAAAAGCACCGCAGGGTCAGTTCGTATTTGCCCTTGGTTGATTTCACCTAGCTTTCTTGCTGCTGTTTGCGTTGCCCGCTTGAACATGCAACCTCAAGTGGGGTGTAAAATTAATTCTTTCACGTTATGAAATATTAGTTTGGACAAGATACACTCATGCAAATGATCGTGATGTTTATTTAATTTATTTGCTACTATGCCTTACTTTAAAAGTCTGCTCAAATTTGATAAAAAGTTTTGAATCAAATTTCTGTTAAGGAAAGTGGTCTTTGCTGAACAGTAGCGAACTGTGTTCAATTAACTGAGAAAAAAATGATACGGAAACAGAAAATGCAACTAATTTAAACAGAGAATATCAGAGAGGACGCCAAAAATATGAGACAAATACCGTGACAAAGGCATTTTACTATCCACAATGATGTCTGAGATCTACAATGCCTAATGCTTTACAGGTGGGCACTTAAATTAGGCAATCTTTATCCTGAATTCAGTGCATTATGTGTTAAGGAAGGAAATCCGTTTGCTCTTTACTCAAACTCCTTCGATCGCAAAATGAAACTAGTGCAACAAGCGTTGCGCCTATAATTAATTACTAAATAAATAGTAAATTTCGACGAACGACCTTACGACCGACCGTGCAAAGTGCTACTTTTAGCATACGCGGTCAATTGTATTGCGGGCACTATCTTAGCCATTATGTAGTGGAAGGGCAAGGGAGAAGCTAATGCACAGGCGCGATTGCGTGCGTAACTTGGAAACCTTACTAGTGTGCGCCAGTAGACACCGGCAGATGACAATGAAGTGCGTATACTCGATGTCCAGCTTTAGTGCAGCGTACCGCGGGCATACGGTTAGGTATCACATGCGGGCTCTAGGTGGACTAGCAGATGTGAAGCAAAAGCAAATTATTTGTAACACGCGGTTTGAGCGGAAAATCTATCGCCGAGGTTGTAGTTGAACAGTAATCCTCTGTATTTTGAAATTCCTAATAAACTCGCAAAGCAACAATACCGGCAGAGCTAAAGCTTTGTCAACCGAAGGAAATTGTTATAATCCAAGTTAGTGGAGAAAGGGTTTGAATGAAAATAGACTGGAAAGAAAGAGACAGAACGACCAAAGAAAGAAAGAAGTAAAAGGCGTAAAGCCAGCCGAGAAAAAAGGCGCAAGAAAGTTAGGAAAGACGCTAAAAAAGCAGAATACGGCGAGAGGAACGTGAAAGAGAACAATAAAAGGCATAGGTTAAAAAGGCGAATATCTTGCGAAGAGCAACATGAAAAGGAAATAAAAAAACTCCAGAAAACAGACTGAAAAGAAGTCATCAGCAAAGAGAAAGGGAACTACAAAGGATCAGAGAAAGAGGTAAGTCGTGTCTTACCAGGGTTTTTTCTCACGCTACGGCCCAGAAAAATTCAAACCTTTTTTTTTTCTTCGGCATTAATTGCTTTAAAATCCTCGCGCTAGTTCATTGTTCGGATAACATTTCGAAGTCACCACAAGTTATCGTTTGGAAACACTTACCATTAAAAAACTTGTTACTGGTAGCTTAGGTCTTAAATGTTTAAATTTTCATGGGAGATGCCTTCTTTGAAAGTGGGGATACAGAAGTTTTCAAAATTGCTGGACCACAATGAGAACTACTGGTTCATTATTTATTTATTTATTACTTGAAATAAGCTGTTTGCAAGAAACGAAAAGAAAATTGACAATCATACCCTAATGCTTGACATGATTCACTCATACATTTCAATCGTGTATACCCATCACTGAAGAGCTGTCTTTAAAAATGTTTTTTGATATGGCTGTTGTTCATTAAAATTCCTTGTTTTAGAACAGATCTTGCTAATATTTCACTTTTTCAAGGATATTTTGGCCTTTGTCGATATCGATTTTACTGGCTTTTTTAACTTTAAAGCACTTCTACTCGCTTATATAGCGAGCCTCGCATCGATCTATAACATTCTTTCCTCGTAGCAAAGATCACTGATTCTCAAGGGACTGACTTAGTGAATAATGAAATCGCAGTAAGTGCAGGTAATCTTAATTGTAATTTTCTTTCACGCTTTATTTCATTAATTCTAAGTTTTTACTGCCCTATAAAATGTAGAAATGCTATGTAGGCATATGTCATGCTCGGCTAGTTCTCTTATTTACCGGTTAGTCAGTCGAATTGTGCGTATTGAATTTGACGGGGTGCGGTAAATCTGTGTTTATTGTATTCACTTAACCGAACTGATAAGTCATTCCTCTGTTTCCCTCGCGTTCTCCTCTTTTGTTTTAGAAGCAGATGCTGGATCCACCTAAAAAGCACGACACTGTCAGTAAGAACAAAAGACAGAAATTTTCTTTCGAACCGAGCTCGTCGGAATAAATGTAAAGGGAAAAAATACTTTGCTTTAATTTTTTCTCAGAGGGCAAATCTTATTTAAGAATTTACTTACAATTACTTTCCTTTCCATTACTAACTGAGCAGAGGTGATCTTCGTACGCTAAACATCGATGGAAGTAAATAGTACTCTCCGTAAGATCACTGAATATATTGAAGAAAAAATTTTGGTGGCAGTCATTGAACTTGAGTTTGTTTGCCAAATCAGTACCATTTTTTTTGTTCAAAAGTGTACATATGCTATTTTTTCTCTAATTGACAGCCGTCAGATTGTGACAGATACTTGTAAAAAAAGATGTTTCAAGTTTGTTTGAAAGCCTACTGAATCACCTTTATCCGCTACAGAAATAAATTTTTTTCTGTGAAGCCTCTCTCTTTAATTTCCATTACCCCTCTTTCTACTACCATTTATTTACTCAAAAATTGTTCTGTTTAAATAGGATCTCGCCTTAATTACAGCCTAAATCATTGGGGTTCTTTTGGCAAGTATTTCGTTCAGTTTTAGAAACGAATAAAAATGTTATTCACCAGCTTAGGTCGGTCCCTATTGGGAAGAACTGTGTCCGAGGTCCTGAGTACCACTCAAGGCCGTAGGCAAAGGACGGCCCTCAAGACAGAGGGTAAAATTTTTTCCCCAATACGTACCTCTCGGCTGGAGAATAACATATTTATTTACTTTGGCTTATTGTGTTTTTACCTTCGTCGACATTCGTCCACCTTGTATGGTTGAGCCAGTAGCATTTGAAAAACTATTTTCGTCCGCGGTTCTTAAGAACATTATCTACAATAAATGATCAATATGATTTAGTCTCAAATTCTAAAACTAAAACGTCGTTGTCATGGCGATGGTACGATTTTGTTTCCGGCTTTGTTGAGCATCACTGTGATGTACATATAGCTGAACCCTTGACGTTTATGGGGAAAAATTTAATTTCGCTAGTGTCGCACACTATAGACGACACGGAAACTTACCCATGAAGATGTTTCTATATATATTTCTGATAGAATGCTTTAATCATTTGTACGAAGTGGCTAAAGAAGCAAATGTAATCATGGCACAACTTGAAACTTAGTTCTCAAAATTTTTTCGATAAACTAACCTTTGGAACGAAAACAAGACTCAGGGTAAATGTGGTACAGAAGATGGTGAGGAACGAGGACAAGGAAAAGTGAATGGTAGGTCGGTCAGCGACAACACCAAGAATAGGAAATACGAGGATACAAGGAATGATGACGTTATAAACGGACGAGCCAATCAGTTTGCTGTCATTTAAAGCGGGGATATGCACTTTGCGGGTTTCCCAGGCCAAGTAGGCTCCAAATAATAACAACAGGCCTAAAGATAGAAAGCAATGAGATAAACGTCACGTTGATAAGTAAATAATTAGGACCAGTCGTTTGTGCTCTTTTTCCAGAGAAGAGACATTTGATAAATCTCAGTGAATTTAATAGCTTGGTGAATCACTTTATGAGCGGTTTATTCGCATGTCTCATCGTGAACATTGTTCACTAGAACTGAATTTGCATTGACGTTAACACTCGAATAAGTTTATTTAACCTTAATTTTATCCAGTTTTATTTCCTTGAAGAAACAGACAGAATGGAAATCATCTGGTCTCAGAATAAATGATCCAGTGTGTTTACCGCGCATGACTGTAGAAGCTAATACTCTCTGGTGTGTAAAGTGGGATCTTTTAAGAGTCAGTGTGTGACACTGATCATCTCCAAAACAAGCACAGATCACTCTCCAAAGGAGAATCTCCTATATTCGCAATGCAAGATACGCTGTGTCATCCATCAACACCTTAAAAGTCTCTGACTACTACCTTTGTACAGGTATATGCAAGGTAGCCATATCATTATGTTCTCGCAGGTACACTTGGTTACATACGGTTGTATGCCAGTGTCATCCTCTTGTGATACCTGTAGTAAAAATAAGAGAATTATTTAAAAATAATCTTAGGTACTGTAGAAAAAATTAATTTTTGGCAATCCTTGTCCTCGTTCCTTGCCATCTTTTGATGACGTGTAGAAGATCAATGTGCACTACTAAGTGCCACATTAGAAGGTAAACTGTCCGTTATAGTCTTAGATTTTCCAAGAATTGATAAATTTAAGTCTGTCCATTTCAGTGTTGTAGAAAATACACAACTTAGCACCCATAAACACTTAGGTTTTTGGAATGAAGAAGATTTTCGCCATCTTGGTCACATGCCCTAATTTCCCTGAAGTTTCTCGGCAAAATATAGTGCGGTGACCGTTGATGTTTCGATGAAATAGGCAACCAAGCCTAACATAGCTGTCAAAGTTTGAAAATATTTTTAGGTTTCCTAAAACTTGCAAGTCATTACAGGTTTTGGTGGCATAGGTGTGCGTTGGAAGAGATCCCCCCAGAGAGGCGAGTGAGAGCTTTCTTTTCCCTTAAGTTCAAAATCTCACGAACTGTTTAAAATTTTTGCTCTTTACCTGCAGCGTCAAGTTTTCTACTTTATTTGTCAATGGGTCGACAATCTGCCACGTGACGAGGATTATGATATCAATTAAAAGAAGAACAGCAACCATACCAAACAACTGACGGTCCCGGATGATAACCTGCAGGGAAATTATTCATAACAAATCGCGCTTAGGCATCTTTCTGGCTCTATCTTACAGTTGTATCTATCTATCCATCTATCATTTATTTATGTCTCCATCTACATATTTATCTTTCTACC